GTTTTACTTTGTACTAATGTGTTGTAATAGTACTACGTCAGAACATTTTTTTATCCTCACCAACCCCGTATTTAAGAAATTTTTAAGAAATTTTTGGGGACACACGGTGACACGTCTTCACCCTCTCTCTCTCTGTCTCTCTCTTCTCTACTTCTTGATAAACACACTCTATTTGTTACTACTTTTTTGAAAACCGTTCATGTTTGTTACTACTTCTTGATAAACCCTCATGTTTGTTATTACTTCTTGATAAACCCAAATCAGATTGTTACTACTTCTTGATAAACACACTCATATTTGTTACTACTTCTTGATAAACCACCATATTTGTTACTACTTCTTGATAAACCACTCATAAATTGTTACTACTTCTTGATAAACCACTCATTTTTGGGTTACTACTTCTTGATAAACACACTCATATTTGTTACTACTTTTTGATAAACCACTCATGTTTTTACTACTTCTTGATAAACCACTCATTTTTTGTTACTACTTCTTGTTAAACCACTCATGTTTGTTACTACTTCTTGATAAACCACTCATGTTTGTTACTATACTTCTTGATAAACACCCCTCATATTTGTTACTACTTCTTGATAAACCGTCATGTTTGTTACTACTTCTTGATAAACCACTCATGTTTGTTATTACTTCTTGATAAACCAATCATGATTGGTACTACTTCTTGATAAACACACTCATATTTGTTACTACTTTTTGAAAAACCGCTCATGTTTGTTTTTTACTTCTTGATAAACCAATCATGATTGGTACTACTTCTTGATAAACACACTCATATTTTTTTACTGCTTCTTGATAAACCACTCATGTTGTTACTACTTCTTGATAAACCACTCATGTTTGTTACTACTTCTTGATAAACCACTCATGTTTGTTACTACTTCTTGAAAAACCCAAACTCATTTTTTGTTACTGCTTCTTGATAAACCACTCATTTTTTGTTACTACTTCTTGATAAACCACTCATGTTTGTTTACTGCTTCTTGAAAAAACCACTCATGTTTGTTACTACTTTTTGATAAACCACTCATGTTTGTTACTGCTTCTTGATAAACCACTCATTTTGTTACTGCTTCTTGAAAAACCACTCATTTTTTGTTACTACTTCTTGAAAAACCACTCATGTTTGTTACTACTTCTAAAAACCACTCATGTTTGTTACTGCTTCTTGATAAACCACTCATATTTGTTACTACTTCTTGATAAACCACTCATGTTTGTTACTACTTCTTGATAAACCACTCATGTTTGTTACTACTTTTTGATAAACCACTCATTTTGTTACTGCTTCTTGATAAACCACTCATATTTGTTTTACTATTCTTGAAAACCCTCATGTTTGTTACACTTCTTGATAAACCACTCATGTTTGTTAACTGCTTTTTGATAAACCACTCATATTTGTTACTACTTCTTGATAAACCACTCATGTTTGTTACTACTTCTTGATAAACCACTCATATTTTTTAAACTACTTCTTGATAACCACTCATGTTTGTTACTGCTCTTAAATAAACCAAACTCATATTTGTTACTACTTCTTGATAAACCACTCATATTTGTTACTACTTCTTGATAAACCCACTCATGTTTGTTACTGCTTCTTGATAAACCACTCATGTCTGGGGTTTTTTTTGAAGAATTATAAGACGTTTTACTACACCTAAACACTTTATTGTTTAGGCTCTTGGGTAAGTTAAACATTTAATTTAAACATTAGTTTTGGCACATTAAAAATTTCTTATTCTTCACATGTACCTTCAGAAGATTGTGATGATCAAGGTGCTTGTGATGGCGGCCATGGAGTGTGCAGAGAGTCCTGCCTCCGCCTGGAGGGGTCAAGTACGTGAGGGTTGGGGTGACTCTGACTGTAAGTGTTGTACGCTACGTCAGGCAGAGTGTTCTACCTGTAAGGATTGTCCTGTGTTTGTGTGGACACCAGAGTGTGCACTAGTCCTTTAAGGAATTACAACTGCTCGCGATCTACTGTGTCTGCTGCGACAGTAAGTATAGGAGTTTGTCATTCTAGTGATATATTATAAATTATATATGTCCGCTCTGAATACTTTTAACATTCTTCCCCAGTTTGAGAACTCTTCAGCATGTGTGTGTGTGTACTCACCTTGTTGGGTTGTTGAGGTCAGTTCACAGCTCCTGGCCCGCCTCATCACTGGTCGCTACTGGGTCACTCTCCTTCTCCATGAGCTTTAATCAAATCTTTTCTTAAAGCTATGTATGGATTCTGCCTCCACTACATCACTTCCCAACTCTTCCACTTCCTGACAACTCTGTGACCGAACAAATACTTTCCTAACATCCCTGTAATTCATCTCAGTCTTCAACTTCCAATTGTGACCCCTTGTTGCTGTGTCCCATCTCTGAATCATCCTGTCTCTGTCTACCACATCGATTCTTCTCAGTATTTTATATGACGTTATCATATCCCTCCCCATCTTCCTGTCCCCTAGTGTCGTCAGGTAATCCCCCTTAACCTCTCATCATAGTATATGCCCCTCATCCCCGGGGGCTAGTCTTGTTGAAAACCCACTGCACTTTCTCTAATTTCCTTACATGCTTGACTAGGTCTGGGTTCCAAACTGGTGCTGCATACTCCCATACAGGCCTAACGTACATGGTGTACAGGGTTCTAACGTTTTCCTTACTGAGATGTCGGAATGCTACTCTTAGGTTCACTAGGCGCCCAAATGCTGCAGCAGTTATTTGGTTGATGGTACCTCAGGAGATGTGCCTGGTGTTTATACTCACCCCAAGACCCTTTTTCCTTGAATGAGGTTTGTAGTCTGTGCCCTCCCCCTAGATTGTTCTCCGTCTGCGGTCTTCTTTGCCCTTCCCCAATCTTCGTGACTTTGCACTTGGTGAGGTTTAACTCCAGGTGTTCATTTCTGGACCAGGACTGCAGCCTGTCCAATCTCTTTGTAGTACTGCCTGATCCTCGTTCGACTGAATTCTTCTCATCAACTTTCACATCATCTGCAAACAAGGACTCTTCGGAGTCTGTTCCTTCCGTCATGTCGTTCACATTACCAGAAACAGCACCGGTCCTAGGACTGATCCCTGGGAACTCCCGCTCGTCACAGGCGCCCACCTGACACCTCGTCACGTACCATGATTTCGCTGTTGTCTTCCCGACAGGTATTTCCTGATCCACTGCGTGCCTTCCCTGTTATCCATGCCTGGTCTTCCAGCTTCTGCACTAATCTCTTGTGTGGAACTATTTTAAAAACCCCTTACAGTCCAGAAAATGCAATCTTCCTACTCCTTTCTCTCTTGTCTTACCGCTGTCACCCTGTCATAAAAACTCCAGTAGGTTTGTGACACAGGATTTCCCGTCCCTGAAACCGTACGGGTTTTGTGGTTGATAAGCTCATTCCCTTTCTAGGTGCTCCACACTCTTTCTGATAATCTTCTCCAGATTTTTGCATACTATAGATGTCATTTGACACTGGTCTGTAGTTTAATGCTTTGCCCTCTATCTTTTTTTTTAAAAAATTGGGACTACTTTTGCTGTCTTCCATACCTCAGGTATCGCGCAGTTTCGACAGATGTGTTGAAGATTATTGTTAGTGGTATACATAGTGCCTCTGCTCCCTCTCTCAGGACCCATGGAGAGATGTTATTCACTCTTTAAGGTATCTAGCTCTGCTAGCACCTCTTCACTTCCTCCTCGTCGTATTTTATTGTGTCCAAACACTTGATGGTATACCCCACCTCTCCGTCTTTCTGGATCTCTTCTGTCTCCTCTGTGACACTGCATTCAGTCTCAGTTGACTCCTCACATACTTCGGGGTCGTTTCTTTGATCTCCCTCCTTTCATCCTCGGCCTTATTACCTGATCCTTGACTGTTGAATTTCCCTCCTGATGTGGCTGTACAACAGTTTGGGTCAGATTTGCTTTCACTGCTATGTCATTTTCATATTATCGTTAGGCCTCTCTTCTTACCTGTGCATATTTATTTCTGGCTCTACGACTGCTCTCCTTATTCACCTGGGTCCTTTGCCTTCTATACTTCTTCCATTCTCTAGTACACTTGGGTTTTGCCTCTCTACACCTTTGGGTAAACCCATGGGTCCATCCTGGCTTTCTCCATTATTTCCGTTACCCTTGGGTACAAACCTCTCCTTCAGCTTCCTTGCATATTGTTGTCACATATTCCATCATCTGATTAGCTGACTTCCCTGCCGGGTTCTCTGTCCCACCGAACCCCGTGCAGGAAATTCTTCTGCCTAGGTAGTCCCCCTCTCTTATATTTTTGGCTTCATTCGCCCTGTCCTTCCTGCTTCTCCTCCCCCAACTTTTAACCTACTATGTATTCGAAGCTCAGAACCACATACCCGGGCCCCCCGGGGGGCCTTTCACATGTGTTTGTCTTCAATATCTGCACTACTCAAGGTGAATACTAGGGACAGTCTTGCTGGTTCATCCTCTTTTCTCGCTCTGGTAGTGTCCCTTACGTGTTGGTACATGAGGTTTTCCAGTACCACCTCCATCATCTTAGCCCTTCACTTTCTTGGCCCCCATGTGGCTCCAGGTTCTCCCAGTCAGTTCCCTTGTGATTGAAATTACCCACAACCAGCAGCTTTGCCCTGCTTGCATGGGCCCTTCTGGCCACTTCAGTCAGTGTGTCATTCGTCGATCTGTTACTCTCATCGTATTCTTGCCTTGGCCTCCTGCTGTTCTGTGGTGGGGTTTTTACATCACTGCAAGGATAATGTGAGTAGTCACGGAAATGCATTGAATTTCACTATTTTTTCATAGTGGTTGTTCTGCATATACGTATATACTACTTCTGGAATTGGACTGGAGACCCTCATCCTCAGAGAAAAGAGTAAACTTGCTTCAGCGAAAACTCAGATTCTCCCCGAGCGTTTGAATATTTCTTCTTCTGCCACCCCCTATATTCTATATTCTAAGTAGACTTTATTTAAAGTCAAAATACATTAACAAAAATGCAGTAGGAAGTAGAACAAGATTAATAACATCTCAGACCCCACATCTCAAATACTTCGTCCGGCTCCCTGATGGTAGTCTATTTTGCCCAGATGCGCAGGCTTTCCCAATCTGGAATCGCAACACTGAGTCTCTGAAAGAGGAAGCTGGATGCTTATATGCCCTTATATGTGTTCCTCTTGTTGTTTTTTATTTTCATAGTTCGTTGATAATGTGAGAAATCACGAAAACGCTTGGAATTTCACTATTTTTTCACCGTGGTTGTTCTATATATTGTGATATCACCTGTTCACTGTGATCTTATTGCATCAATGGATACCACACGACTCTTCAAAATGTTCTCTGTTAACTTTCCCAAATATATTTCCTTTGTTTCCCAGTTTTTCTCTGCACTGATCAAGTCAAACAAGCTTAAAATTCGACTTAATTTAAAAAAAAAAATGAATGAGCAAGTTTTGCCCAAATATCTTTTACCAAATAGACTCCTTGACATGAGAGATCGTCCCTTTGATGATTTTATGAGAATATTCTTCAAAAAATATTGAAATTACTAAAATCAAAAGGGTGCATTCAAAATATTGAGAAACGAAATATACTCCTTTAATCAGGCCATTCCATCAGAATGGAATGGCCTGTTTAAAAAAACTTAGAAGATTTATAATTTAACTCAAACACAAACACAAAGAAAATAGACATTTTCATTGAAAACAGTGATTGGACAAAACATGTTTTAATTTAAAAATTTTTCAATTAACTAATCATATGAAATATTAAATTTTTTTTTACCTCCAAAGTTCATTTTCCTATAAATTATCTATATATCTTGTAGATATTTTGAGCCCAATTTCTGGAAAAATTTTTACTTTAATGTTAAAGCAACAAAATTTAGTGGATAAATTAAGCCCATTGACTGACTTTTAAAATTTTTTTTAACATGGTTAGTTTTTTATGTTACTTCCTTGTTTACGAAAGTTCCAGTTGATGATTTAAGTTTCTTATCTGAAGAACTTGTTAATTACGATTTACCATTGCCAGTTCCTGCTATCATTAAACTTATTATCTTTGTATTGTTGATGTAAAACTTGTATTTAATAAGTTTTACACCCACAAGAATGGGAAATTCTCTCTCATCCTTCTTAGTAATTTATACATGGAATTTTTTTTAAACAAAACGCTTAACCCAATCCTTCCTAACAGAGCTAACTCTTTAGATATTTAATATTTTCTGTCTTATGCCTAAGAATGTAGTTATAAACTATTTCTTTTTTAAAAAAATAATTTAAACTCATTCCATAAATTTTACTGTTGAGTTTGAGGAAAATAACTCATTGCCTGTCCTAGATATTTTAATTATTAAGGGTAACAGTGATTTTAAAAATTTTAAAAATTTTTAGAAAAACCAACAAATAATTCTTCCTATGTACACTGTTATTCTTGACATCAAGAAGGGGTTAAACTGTCTGATTTCTCATCAGTGTTTTTGAGGCTTTACGTATTTGTAGTCCGAGTTCATAGATGAAGAAATCTCAAAATTTATGAAATAGCTAATGATCTAAAAAATCCAAGAAAACTAAATGATCAATCCTTCAAAATTGCTAGAAATGCTTTTTACAATCCAAAAAGGGACAACCAACCTTATTCAACTAAAAATATGTTGGTTCTCCCTTACCATGAAAACTTGGTTGATATCCTTCTCTTCTTAAGACTTTTAATACAAAGTTGTATTTAAAAATCTTTTATACAGTAAAAAAAAATTTTGATAAAGAATTCCCCCCAAAATGCTGACGGATGTGCTATAAGATTCCTTGTAAAATTGTGATAAAGTTATTACGGTCAAACTGGTAAAAATCTCGAACTAAGATTAAAACAACATAAAT